CGCTTTTGTTGAATTGAGCGAATCGCCAGACCAACCTTGGCCTCGTTGCAAGCAGTGCTTTGAAAGCAAAGTGCTTGCATCATTGGATGGGCAAAACGTTCTCCAGCCATGAGCAAAAGTTCTGCATTCTTTTTTGTCCTGCTCTCATGTCATCTCTGAGTGGCAGCCGTTGTTGGATCCGTCACAGCATTGCCGAGATGGCTTGGATGGACAGCGAGGTTGAGTTCATAAACCGAGCAAGCCAATATGGAGTCCTTGAGGCTCCATAGACTTGCTCCTTGAACATGGAGTTCAAAGCGTTGCTTCGTTGGCCTATGCTCTTGGTCCCCAGAACTCCGCCATGAGGCGCCTGATGTTCGAGGCTCACCCTCGGCATCGCCCAGTTGAAATTGGAACAGCAAGAATGTTCCTCATATTCCTTCTCAGAACCCAACAAACCTTCTCACGAACTCGTGGCTTGCTCACTACCATGGTGGAGTCCCGGAGCTTGCGGCACGTGCCCTTCCATTGGTGTACCAGCCAGCCGTGAAGCAGAAGCCACGCTTGGGAATTCTGCCAAAGATGCCACTTTGTTGCGCATTGAGAACGGGCTCGTTGGCGGTCATCGCCCAGTTCCTTGCGCAATGTTGATGTCTCTGATGGCCTGAAGGCTCAGCTTTGCCTAGCTCGGCGGGCAGCCGCTTTGGCCCTCTCCGGTTTGGTGTCCTACGAGGCTGCCATCCACTGGAACGAGAAACTCATGCATGCCCTGGTTCGTCAGCCGCCAAAGGGATTTGGGCCTATTTCCATGGCCCAATGCGGACAAGGCCTTCTGGGCGCTTTGCTTGGATGAAGCCTTTCTGCCTTCAACAGACGGGGCCTGGCCCTTGGATGACATCATGAAGCGGTGCGCAGTCTGATCCAGTTTTTTTTCTCAGGTTCAAGTCCGACGACTCCAAGGGCCCTTTCATAAGTCTGGCCTTCCCTTACCGCCATGGAGTGCGGACTTGGAAGTGATCCTAGAGCAAATGCACTTCGTCCTTCTCCGCATCAAATTCCTGTGTAATGTGCCTTGGCCCTGATCGAAGGCGCACGCACGCTTGCAGGGCTCTGGGACCTGTTTCAACTGGCCCTGGCCCTGTTTTTCACAGGACCCGGCTACCAAGCTTGCTTTCACCCGATGTGCTGTACACCGGCATGGGGGAAAAGTTGACCCTAGCGGCAAGTCAAGGAGATCCTCTCCCTACCCTTCGCCGTCGGCATCTTTTGCCAAAGGCAAGGGGAAAGGTTCATCCAAGGGCAAGTCGATGGGCGCGGGCAAAGGAAAGAAAGGTGCCGAACATGCTCGACCAGCAGCCTTGCTGGGCAAGGGATCTCCCGCAGCCCGGACGGATTAGTCGTGTGCTACGGCTTGAACCTGTTTCACGGGTGCAGCAATTCGAGCTGCGCACGCCAAGACGTGTGCATGCGCTGCTTTGGCAAGCACACACTGCACAAGTGTCCCAGAGGGACCAGTGCTTGAGCTGAACCACCAGGCACCCCCGAGACGACCCAGGGTTTGTCCCCACCAGATGGCAGTCCTTTTTCGTCGTTTTCCTCCGCGCAGGTGGTTGGAATTTTCACTGGCTCTGCACGTATCACTCGGGCTGCAAAATGGTTTTCAGACTTTGGCAGTTGACTCGGTCAAAGCAGCTCACACCGCGATAAAGTCATAGACCTGAGAGAAACCTCAGGCCAGCTCCTGCTGCTTGAGATCTTGCACCCCAGAGTAGACCCACGCGCTCGGATGTCCGACCGCTTCAAGGGGTTGCGAGCGCAAACTTGTTGTCCGAGTTCATTGCAATTATCATTGAGCACTGTGAACGATTGGCCTGTTTATGGGTAGTGCCTGGCCTGGTCCACGCCATTCTTGGTGAAAGCAGTGAACAGCCACTTCATGACCGAAACCCATTTTTGTTGTTTTGGAGGCAAGCAGCTCAAGAAGACGGGCTTGTTAGCCCCGATTCCTCTCCCACAGTCGCAAGTGCAAGGGCGACCATGCACCTGCAGCCTGGAGAGGCCCAGAAGGCTTTCGGTCCTCTGAAGAAGCTACTTACCCGCCAGCTTTCTGTTTGGCGGTGGCCGACCTTGCATGCGCCATAGCAACACAGAAGGGTTTCGCCCCGATACCCGACAGTTTACATATGCCGGGATCGTCAGCAGACTTCAAGTTTCTACGAATGCAGATGATGGCTGCCATAGGCCGGCAGCGCAGAGGAAGACAGCCCGACACACTGCCTGTTGGGTGCCACTTTCAGAAGTTCAAGACGTGCAGCCCGGCGCCAAGTTGCATGGCGCTTGGCCCAAAGGGACTCTCTTGGCGGCTCAGCAGCCCACTGAGACGAATGATCGACTCGTCTTGGTGCCAAAAGACCCGTTGCTCTATTTGCAGACATGCCAACCCCTCTGCCAAGTTGGACGCTGCACAGCAGCACATACACGAAACCACCCGGTCTTGGGCGAACAACGTTGAAGTCCTTACTGCAGCGAGCAGCTGAATTGCAGCCACAGATCCTTTCTCAAGCTGATGACATTGTTCGAAAAATCAATGCTTCCAAGCGCGCCCTGCTACTCCAGCAACTTTTGACGTTCATTGACCACAAGGACCAGGCTCTGGTGCCGGACTTGCGCTCAGGTTTCGCATACCTTGCAGGCAGCTGGGCAGACCTCTTGTTGGTCGCTCCTGCAAAATGCAGAACGCGTACAGGCAACTGGCCCTGCACCCTTCGCACTGCCGATTCGCCTGCATCGATTACAACAACCCAGAATCTGGATCTCCTACCATTGCATGTACACCATGCCATTTGGCGGTTCGGCCAGTGTTTGGGCTTTCAGCAGAGTCGCTCTCGCTATATCCTTGTTCAAGATTGTGGGGTTCACTTTGTGCACAATCAGGCAAGGACTTGCCCTTTAGCACAGTCTTCAGTTGCCTAGGTGTGGATGTCATTTTGCTCCATTCGCCAGCCGAGGTCGCTGTTTGCAACTTGATTGACCACCCTGAGACACGACATCCTCGCTGCGAATGCCGTCTCTCAGCACCAAGTGAGATCTTTGCGCTCGCGCCTGAATTTTGCTGAGAGCCACCTCTTCGGTCGCATCGGCACAATTCCTGCGGAGGTAAAGGTGGGCCTTACATTCATGATATCGCGCTTGTCCACCAACAAGCCTTCAGTGGTTACGCACAGGAAGCCCGTGTGGCACATCTTCACTGACGGTGCGCAAGAGTGCATCTCCACCATGGGGGACGTGCTGGTCACTGACCATGGACTCCCGCTTCAGTGCTGTGCCATCAAGAACAGGCCCAGCTTCTGGTATCTGAAACATGGTTAACCCTTTTCTACCAGGATCACTGAACAACTGGGTTTGCAGAAGGGAGTCGCCAATGCTTGAACGGGCTGGTTTTGACCGCCAAAAACAGCATTTGAGGAGGATTGTTTTTTTCCAGAGCTTGGGCAAACGGCTTGTTGATAAGAAATGTGGAGTGGGGAATCGGGCCTAGACTAGGGTGGCCGTAGAAGAACTGCCGTGCCCTGCGTTTTTCCGAGCCCCAGGTGGGCTGCAAGCCCTACGGCCATACGCAGGGGCACGCCCTTTTCGGATGTTGTGCCTGACAGGGGCACGGCGCCGTCATTGAACAGAGGTTGTTGTTGTTCGCTTGCTTTTGCCCTGCAAATTGTATAGTGTGGCACCCAAAATGGGTTCTTCCAGAAGAGTGCGATTTCTCACCAGGGTGTCTTGGGCCGTGCTAAGCTGCCGCCCATGACGCAGTGATGTGTCTGATTCCGCTCAACAACCTTTGTTTGATGCTTCGTCACGAAGCACACGCAGAACAGTTCGACGATTCAGCTCCCCAGAGGCACTGGCGACCCATCGGCAACGCCGCTGTGTATGCCTTCCTAGCACGTTTTTCCTGTTAACAGTCCACTTTGAAATGGTCAGGGACACAGGGAAGAATTGTAGCGAATCCCAGCCTCCAACAACTATGGATTAACCTGCACACCAACTTGTCTTGGTATCTCATGTTCACATTCATCTTCCAAACGCTCCGGGCTGCCTAAATTCAATGACCCAACATGCTTTGGTTGCCTGCATTTCCCTGTTTCACTTCTCGCAGGCGTGTGCTGGCGACTGGTTGTCTTTGATCTCCATGACCAATTGCCTGGATCTTTGGCCGTGGTTTAGGCTTTGGGGTTGGCAGCACTTCAAACTGCACTCTCTTGACTTGCTACAGTTCGACTGGACACGTAAAGGGCCTTCCTGATGGGTTCTTCGACCTTGCCCTCAGATCGCTGGACCCGGAGGGGCGAGAACCTGCGCTGCCGAGTACGCGGCGACCAGTCGGGTGACCTGCTGGGTGGGTTCTAACACTTTCAGATGCTACAAGCATGCTCCCTGGCGGGAGAGAAATCAAGTCATTCCGTGTGGATCCGCGTCAAAGATTTGCACGCGGCTCCCACGCCTGTTATTTGCCCACTTATTGGAGCACAGGATTGGGAAGTCGGCGAGCACTGGAGGACCGAGCCAAAGGAGCACGCCAATCTGGCGCGAATTCTCTTGCCATCTTCTGAAAGGCTACTTGAACAAGAATACCAAAGCGACCGTTGGTTTGTCGAAGGCTTCTCTTGCCGTGTGCCAATCAAGCGTTCCTTCATTGCAACTTGTTTGACCCATGCTTCTCTGGGCTGCTCAAAAGCAATCCTGATACCACTGGTTTCAAAAGAAAACGGTTATCTTTGTTGGTTTGCCATGTTTTTCGAATTGGGGTGAACCACTCCTTTTTGAGGCACGGTTCTCAGTGCGCGGCTTGAAGCTTTGCCGGCTTTCGGTGTTGCCTCCATGGGCGGACTCAGATTATAGGTCTGGGTTGTTCACAATGAATCGTCAAGATCCTTATGACAAATGGTAGGGTTGTGTGCCGGTGTACCCCACCGCGGGAATTACGGTTTCTCCGTTTCGAACAACCTAGTTTTGCACTCGCAAGCATGCCCGCACCCCCCCTCCTCCGACCACATTTGACGGAGCTTGTCTAGCCCACGTTCTGCGGATGTTGCAACTTGCGAGAAAAAGGTTCCTCTGGTGCTTTTTGCATGGATGCTAGGACTTTAACTTTTTGCCAGCTGATGGGTTTTCCGTTAAACCACTAAAAGTTAAACGATGAGCAGGGGAGCAGAAAGCAACCGAGGTTCTCCTTTGCGCGCAGCTGTGCGTGAGAAGTGTTCCAGGACGAAAACGACAGTGTAAGCCCCCGAAGTCCTTGATGTAGACTGCGGATTGGACATCGCCATTTAAGGCGTAGAAGCTCAGAAGGAGCTTTCGTGACAGCATGGTGGGATGATCAGGCATCCTTACCATCACTTTTGGTTGCGCCCCTTATCAACCCATGGTTTCATCCTGGGCTCCTTTCAGCCTTCGAAGGCTTCTTTGGCATGATTTTCAAGAGCCCACTCCCCCAACAAACCAAATGGGATGTGAAAATCCGATTCCAAGCCAACGGGTTCCACAATTGGTGGTTTGGATTGGTGGTTTGGGATTTGAACCTCTGGTACTGAAATCCATTCAACTAGCTGTCAACATGAACTTCTTGTGGCAAGGATCTGAGGCCAAACGCCTTGAGTCCAAACGATCCGTCCGATCCATGGGGTTGATCCATCACCGGCGCCATCTTTTCCGCTCACCAGGCCTTTCAAACATGGAACCAGTGAGGCTTGGACCACTCAACTGTTTTGGCTTTGAAGTTGCTGCTTCTTCTTCTTCTTTTTGGTGTTTTAGTCATGGCTTCTCTTTTTTTTGGGGTGGGGGTGGGGCGGGGAAAGGGCCCCGCCCACCCCCAGCGCCACGTTTCCTTTCCACCAGGCCTTCGCTGGCTTCGGCGCCGCGGAGCTCCTGGAGCAGGTGGTGGCGCCCCTCTGCCAGGCCGCCGCGGGGGGCGGAGGGAGGGAGGCCGGGGGGTTTGGGGAGACTTTTTTGGAGCTCCCCGGAGTTTTTTGGGCGGTTTGAAGTTTGTTTTTTGTTCTTCTTCGGGAAGCCTTGCTCGTTTTTTGTTTTTGCTTTGTCCTTTTCTTGGAAAGAGACGCCGTTTTAGTGGCTTAAGCAGAAAGTTCAGACTTGTTTTTGGCAGTCCACTTAGGAAGTGAGAAAGGGAGATGTCCCTCAAAAGGCAAAGAGTACTGGGGTCATGATTTTTGACAATTTCTGGGGTGCTATCAAAGTCAGAAACCGGGGTAGTTTCCCTTTGACATACTGCTTGGGGTGACTGGTAGAAGGTGACTTTGATACTAGTATAATAATGCGACAAGACTTAGTAGCAGCACAGCTCAAAGCACTTCTTCAAATGATTCTTTGCAGTTGCTTTTGTAGCTAATGGCCGGTGAAGTTTGACACTTTGAGTGATTGAAGGAATGATGCAACATATAGGTTTGACTGAAAGCCCAGATGACAATCCAAACGCCCACCTGTGGGTAAGGCGTCCCTTTTTCGGGTGGAGGTGGAAGATTCACAACTGCTCTGCTCGGCGCAGTTGAGGAGAGGTTCTTTGTAAGAGGTGGAGAACCATGGGTTCCAAAATATGAGTACGACGTCACTAGGCAGGGCTTTTTGTCCACACACCAATTTGAGAGGGTTCCTCCAACATTAACTGCCACGTTATGGCTATGAATTTAACGAGGAATCCCGGAGAAATGGTTGGTGGAGACTAATCTGCAACCAAAAAAACACCTCTCAAAGTGGAAATCGCCACAAAAGCGCTGTCCAGAGGGTCCCCAATAGCTCATAGGGGTAAAGAAACCACGAGCTCCTCAAGCCGACCTCTTGATCTTTTGGCTTCCCTTTCTGGCCGTTGGGCTTCCCGTTTAGCCTGTTAGGGTTCCCTTTTCGGCAACCATGTCTAGTCAAGGTCTCCATGAGGTTAGCCGCTTCTTCTATATAATCACGGATCTCTCAGTTTCCTTCAAAACTGGCACACTTGAGCAATTTGTTGGCCCGGTAGATCCGCACACCCTCAAACCGGAATTTGTGAGGGGGTGTCACCGGGTGACCCCAGAGAGAATTCCAGTTTTGCATCCTTTCCCCTGGGCCGTGTTCGGCCGTGAACTGGTTCGGCCAAACTGCACGAGGGGACCATTGACTTGGCCTCAATGGCCCTAGAAGGTCACCGAGTCTTTTTTTTGTTTGTTTTTTTCCCGTGTTTTTTTTGTTGATTTTTTAATCACGCATCAGTAAGATGCTCAATTGCTTGCTCACGATGTGCAGAGAAGCAACGGTTTGTCTTGAACAATAGGGACCCACCCAAATTGTGGTTTGCTGTTGGGGCGCAGGAGCTCTCGCTTCCCATCGCTCTGATGCTTGACTGGCAAGTGGCTGTGGGAGCTGAGGGGAGCAAAGCCCTCTGACCATAGGTGTCCTTTTTGGTTGTTTTGGTGGAAACATAGAGGGCGATTCCGGTTTACCTGGTGGTGCAAGATCATCTACCAGGGAAACTCATCTATTTCCCAAAAAGGACACCTACTGTGGATGGACGAAATCCTGCACCACCTAAGAAACCCTGGAATGATGATTCCCCTGCAAATACCAATGAACAATGGTTTCCCATGGTTATGAAAGTGGTGCAGGATTTTGTATGACTGTGACCTTTCATTTTGTACCCAGACCTTTCCACTCCAAACTTTGTCAGAAAAAAAATGAGTTGCCGCTCCCGGGCCTTTCATGTTGACCGCCGGAGCTGTATCGATTGATTTGCTGTAGGGAGGTGGGTGGCGGGCGTCCATTTTCGACCCTTCAATCCCAATCTGACGGGTTTCTGAATGGGTATGTGTAAAAACAGTCGGGATTTCGGGTTTCTG